AAACATTTTTTAGGTCGGACGCAGTTGCTTACGCCTGTAATCCTAGCACTTTGGGAGGCCGAGGCGGGTGGATCACGAGGTCAAGAGACTGAGACCATCCTGGTCAACATGGTAAAACCCAGTCTCTACTAAAAATACAAAAAAAAAAATTAGCTGGGCATGGTGGTGTGTGCCTGTAATCCCAGCTACTCGGGAGGCTGAGGCAGGAGAATTGCCTGAACCCAGGAGGCGGAGGTTGCGGTGAGCCGAGATCGCACCATTGCACTCCTCCAGTCGGGGTAACAAGAGCGAAACTCCGTCAAAAAAAAAAAAAAAAAAAAAAAAAATTTAAATACGGTATTTTATTCACATGGTACAATGATCAAAAAAAAATTTTTTTTTAACTTTTTTTGTTTTTAGAGACAGATTCTTGCTCTGTTGCCCGGCCTGGAGTGTAGTGGTACAAACACAGCTACACAATTCCCTACTGCCTCAAATTTCTGGGCTCAAGCAGTCTTCCTGCCTCAGCCTCCTGTGTACCTGGATCAACAGGTGTGCACCACCATGCCTGGCTAATTTTTTTTTATTTTTGTAGCGATGAGATCTTGCTCTATTGGCCAGGCCGGTCTTGAATTCCTGGGCTCAAGCAGTCCTCCTGCCTTAGCCTTCCAGAGTTCTCGGGTTACAGGCATGAGCCGCGGAACCTGGCCTAATTTTTTTTTTCTCTTTTTGAGACGGAGTCTTGCTCTGTCGTCCGGGGTGGAGTGCAGTGGCAAGATCTCGGCTCACTGCAACCTCCACTTCCCAGGTTCAAGCAGTTCTTCTGCCTCCACCTCTGGAGTAGATGGGATTACAGGCACATACCACCAAGCCCAGCTAATTTTTCTATTTTTAGTAGAGACGGGGTTTCACCGTGTTGGCCAGGCTGGTCTTGACCTCCCAACCTCAGGTGATCTGCCTGCCTTAGCCTCCCAAAGTACTGGGATTACAGGTGTGAGCCACCGCGCCTGGCCACCTGGCCTGATTTTTGTATCCCTTTATAGTTCTTTGTATATATACAACCCAGTGCAAATATGGGTTTACATTTCTCTCCCATTTGTACCCAAAAGGGAGCTCATTATGAACTCACTGTGGCAGTAACAGAGAATTTGCTTGTTCGCTGTGGTAGTCTTGAAGTATCCTTTGTACAGAAGAGCCACAGTTCACATGCCCAGGAAATGCCATATTGATGCACGTCAGACCACATCCAGATTTTGGCATTCTACACAAATCCACGGCAAATAACCTGTTCACCTGTTTTATTTTTGTTTTTGAGACAGAGTTTCACTCTTTTTGCCCAGGCTGGAGTGCAGTGGCACGATCTCGGCTCACTGCAACCTCTGCCTCCCAGGTTCAAGCAGTTCTCCTGCCTCAGCCTTCCAAGTAGCTGGGATTACAGGCACACACTACCATGCTCAGCTGGTTTTTGTATTTTTAGTACAGACTGGGTTTCACCATGTTGGCCAGGCTGGTCTCGAACTCCTGACCTCAGGTGATCTGCCCGCCTCAGCCTCCCAAAGTGCTGGGATTACAGGTGTGAGCCCATGTGCAGGTCTGTTTACTTCCTGGAAGCCTGTCTGCTGGACTAAAGCTAATGTGCATTTATAATTTGGATAGCTACAGCTCAATTGCATTCCTCTGGAGTTGTAGCAAATTGTGCCAGTTTAGACCTCTCGGGTAGTATATGCAAGTGTCTTTACTAGACATAGGGTTTATTCCTAATGTGATGGGTGAAAAACAGTACCCCAGTGTGAAAAATAGTGCCCTAGTGTGCGTTTTGCTGTGCATTTCTCTTATTTCAAGTAGGTTGAGCAGCTCTGAAAATACTTAAGCCTTCTGTGTTTCCTTTTCTGTGCACTGTCTGGTCATATTTTTTGCCCCTTTTTCTCACCTGTTGTAATTCTTAGTGATTTCTAGAGGCTCTTTATATATGAGAGAGGTTAACTTTGTGCCAGGAGTTGCAAGTATTTTCCCCAGCAAGTCATTTGGCGTATGACTTAAGTTGTGGGGTGTGTGTGTGTGTGTGTGTGTGTGTGTGCACTTTTAATGAGAATGAGATTAAAATTTTTTAATGTTTTAGCATCTTTAAGCTTTTTATATTTAAATGACTTCAAATACATAAAAAGTTTCAGGACTAGTACAAAGAGCTCACGGGAGTTCTTTACTCCTTAACAAGACGTGTTACTTATCTATTGCTATGCAGTAAATTACCCCCAAACTCAGCAGCTTAAAACAGCAGGCATTCACCTATCTCACATGGTCTCCAAGCATCAGGAAGCCGGAAGTTAGGAGGTTCTAGCTCTGGATCTTCCATGAGGTTATAGTCATGATGTCAGCTGGGGCTGTGGTCCTCTGAAGGTCCCACTGATCCCACACTCACTTGTGTGGCTGTTGTCAGGAGGCCTCAGTTATACCCTATGAGGGCTCTCCAAGGGGAAGCACATGACATGGAGAGGTTGGCTTCCTGCAAAGTGAGTGACCCAATAGAAACAGATGAGAAGGATCAGGATGGGAGCTGCAGGCTTTTTATAACTAATCTTGGAGGTGTCATGTGATCACTTCCACCAAATTTTGTTGGCTGCAAAGACCAGCAGTGGGAGGGGATTGAATACAGGGAGGTGGGGATTGGTGGTGGCTGCCGCACACACGTACCCATGGTCAGCCTTTTGCTGCATTTGCCTTGACCTTAGTGCCCTTGTTCTGTGTACATTTTTGTCTGAATCAGTTGAGAGTAAGTTGCAGTCATCATAACCATTTGCCCCTTAAATCTGTTCATTTATTTTTGAGTGAGTCTTGCTCTGTCACCCAGGGTGGAGTGCAGTGGTACAATCTTGGCTCACTGTAATCTCTGCCTCCTGGGTTCAAGAAATTCTCCTGTCTCAGCCTCCAGAGTAGCTGGGATTATAGGTGCCCACCACCATGCCTAGCTAATTTTGGGGTTTTTAGTAGAGATAAGGTTTTACCATGTTTACCAGGTTGGTCTTGAACTCCTGGGCTCCAGTGAGCCTCTGTGGCCAGCCTACCCCTGTTTTAGTGAATATTTCAGCCCTTGAGAACAAGGACATTCTCTTGACCATCATGCAGTGAAGAAATAAAGTAGACAGCATAGACACGGGACTGTTGTGAAATCCACTGTCCATAAACCGATTTAGCTAGTTGCCCAGGGATCCTGTAATGTATTCCTGTCGGTTTTCACGTAGTATCAGAGTGCCGCTATGTGCGGGACACCCCCTGAGCCCTTAGAACCTGTCGAGTGGGCCAGCTCTCTTCCCCTGCTCACTCAGCGACGCACCTGCCATTGGTCATCTGAGTCATTTCCCCTTTTCCTCTATTGTAAATACTCCCACAGTGGGTATCTCCATGAGTGAGTACTTCAATACTCTTTATCACAGATTCCTGGAGGGGGAATTTCCAGGTCACAGTCCTGACCCTGTCAAGAGTCCCCAGACCAAGCTGCCTCCCAGCGGGACTGTCCAGGGGGCATCCCAACCAGCTGCACACAGAGCCAGGGGCTGCCCCTCTGATCCCTTCTTAGAGGTGGCAAACCGTTCAGATGTCTGGATTGATTGATTGATTGGGTCGGTTTGGTTCTTTAATTGCCAGAAGTTACTCAGGGCCCAGCTTGGAAGGGATGCTGGAAGGGCCCTAGGACTTAGAGGCCGAAGCTGGTGGTGAGTCTGATGTCATGCTGAGATCCCTAGCTTTGGAGTGTGGGGATGCTGGCTGTCCTGGCCGGGTCCCCAGAGCCCTCTGAGCCTGGGCTCCGTCAGCTTTGAGAAACCACTCAGAAGTCACTGAGTTGTGTAAAGGCTTCAGTTCCACCTTCCCCTGCCTGGAGGGTCTGGACCAGTTTTGGCTCCTTGGCCTCAGTGTCTCATCTGTGAAATGGGTCCAATGTTGCCACTGCTCTCAGGGCTAGGGAGAGATCACACAAATGGGTGTGAGAGGCCAGCCATCCGTGTTAGATCAGCATGAGCTGTTACTAGGGTGTAGATTCTGTGACAGTAAGCGTCGCAGTGCCAGCCCAGTGTTGGGTACAGAGCTGGTGCCCACTGGCTACACAGCAGCTGCTCTGGTTATGATTTTTTGGAGGAGGGTTCAGAGGAGCAAGGTGCTCTGTCTCAGACAAGCTTCAGGCAAGGTGGGTGTGCGTGTGTGGTGGAAGTAACCCCAGATCGCGTGAGCTTGCAGGCACAGGCTTCGGCAGAGTCTGGTGCATCGCGCACAGGCACGCACGCCTGTACTTGCAAGCTCATGTGGTGGCCGGGTAGGCCTGTAGCCATGGCCATACGCACACAGAGGCGGGGGCCCAGGACATATAGAAGGGGGCCCAGGCCTTCCCGTGCCGTGTCCAGAGGTCCACACATGGCTGTGAACCCAGGCCTGGCCCTGTCCCCTCAGTGGCCATCTGTATCCTTGGCAGCCCCCATTCTGTGGCCATCAGCCCTGAGCCACGGTACACAGCATCACGCTGGTGTCTCTCTGCCTTGACTTGGCTGGAGGGGCGGGCGGGGGCTGGCAGCTGGGATGCTGCCCCGCCTGCCCTCCTTCCCCGCTGCTGTGCTCGCCGCCGCCCGCCTGGCCCTCCTGCCTCCTGCTGGGCAGTGGGTATGGTGCCCCTGCTGCCGCCGCCACGCTGCCTCTGCTTCCTCCGCTGCTGCCACCCCAACCCCGCAGGGCTCGCCTTCGTCCGGGGAACTGCTGGGGTGGGGGAGGAATGGGGCAGACAAGGAGGGTGAGATCCGAGGCCAGAGAAATGTGGAGGAGCTGGGTTGCGGGACAGAGATGGGGGCAGGTGGGGTGCACCATGGGGTGAGAGAGGGAGGGAAGGGCAGCCGTAATGGGGCCCCCCTCTCAGGACGGGGTGGGCTAGGAAGGGGGCTTCTGGTGGGGATGGCTGGGGTGCCCAGTGTCTTGGGGCAGTGGGAACCATGGTTGGTTCTGACCCTTGCGCCTCCCCTCTCCCTCCCTCCCCTGCCCAGATCCCAGCAGCGGCTCCACTGAAGGGCCCAGGCCCCTCTTCGTCCCCGTCACTACCTCACCAGGCCCCTCTGGGGGACAGCCCCCACCTACCCTCCCCACACCCTGCTCGGCCCCCTTCCCGTCCACCCTCCCGGCCCCAGAGCGTGTCCCGCCCTCCCTCGGAGCCAGCCCTGCACCCTTGCCCTCCACCCCAGGCCCCCCCCACTCTGCCTGGCATCTTTGTCATCCAGAACCAGCTGGGCGTTCCCCCACCTGCTAGCAACTCGGCCCCTACTGCTCCAGGTCCACCCCAGCCACCTCTCCGCCCCCAATCCCAGCCGCCTGAGGGACCGCTGCCTCCAGCCCCCCACCTCCCTCCATCCTCCACATCTTCCACCGTGGCCGCCTCCTCGGAGACATCCACCAGGTTGCCAGCCCCTGTGCCATCTGACTTCCAGCTCCAGTTCACACCCAGCCAGGTGCCCCACAAGTCCCCCACCCCCCCTCCAACCCTCCACCTGGTCCCTGAGCCAGCAGTGCCCCCCCCACCACCTCCTCGGACCTTCCAGATGGTGACCACCCCCTTCCCAGCGCTGCCCCAGCCGAAGGCTCTTCTCGAGAGATTTCACCAGGTAATGGGAGGCAGGGACCGCCCACCCCACCAGCCCCCCATCCCACCCCCTCAATCTGATGGGGGTCCCCCCACCTCACGGCTCTGTGTTCCTCCCCAGCCCTGCTGCCTCTGGACACCCCACTCCTAGCCCATGTCCCCCACCCCTCATCCACCTGTCCCTCCTCAGGTGCCGTCCGGAATCATTCTCCAGAACAAGGCTGCGGGGGCTCCTGCCACCCCACAGACCTCCACCAGCCTGGGGCCTCTCACCAGCCCCACTGCTTCTGTGCTGGTCAGCGGGCAGGCCCCATCCGGGACCCCCACCACCCCCAGCCACGCCCCCGCCCCGGCACCCATGGCCACCACAGGTAGGGGAGAGGTCGCCTCCCTGCCCAGAGAGATGGGTCCTGAAGATGGGTGGAGGGCTGAGAGCAGGAGGGTGGGATGGGGCATGGCTGTGGGACTCAGCACAGGGCACCAGAACTCAAGGACGCAACGAGGGTGGAGGTGGCAGGGCGGGCTGGAGGGCCAGGAGGAAGTGGTGGGTACAGGGTAGGGCTCCCATTTGAGGGGGGGCCTTTATGCTGTGACCGCAGGCCTTGTCTCCCCCCATCCCCCACCCCCAGGCCTCCCCCCTCTGCTTCCGGCCGAGAACAAGGCTTTTGCCAGCAACCTCCCGAGCCTGAATGTGGCCAAGGCTGCTTCATCCGGGCCAGGGAAGCCCTCCGGGCTGCAGGTAAGGGGCCCTCGGAGTGGGGGTCAGGACAGGACCAAGAGTCTTCAGGGAACCAGGAACCGGGGCCAGCAAGGGCGGGGGGGCTAGGAAGATAGGGGCAGGGGGAGGCTGGGACACGACCAACAGTTGTGCAGGGCCAGGAAAGGCAGATGACACCCAGGTGGGCGGCCAGAGATGATGCAGAAACACAGAGATGGTAGGACAGAGACGGCGCCAAGATAGCTGGCGAAGGGGTGAGGGACGGTCTCTGGGGCAAGAGCAGGGGACATGGACACAGGACAGGGAGGACAGGGCTGAGACGACAAGATGGTGAGCTCAGGACAGGAGAGGCGGGGATGACATGAGACAAACCGGAGACGGAGCGGATCAGGGACCCAGAATGGAAGGGCGAGAGGGCAAGAACAGCTGAGGCCGAGGCCGTCTGTGAGGTGTGAGACGGAGGGAGACGGATGACAAGGAGAGGAGCAGGTGGGAGGACGGGGAGCAAGAAGCCAGGAGAGGAGCAGGTGGGAGGACTAGGGTGCAAGAGGCCAGGAGAGGCACAGAGACGGAGACTACGGAACAGAGGGCAGACAACGAGGACGAGAGGGGAGCCAGGAAGGGGAGAGAGACCGTGTGAGTCAGGGGTGCCGGTCTGGATGGTGACCGGAAAGCAGGCATCTGGCAGAGGAGGGAGGTCACACAGACGCAGCCCTGGGTGAGGGGACAGAGAAGACCCAGGCAAGGATGCCCAGGACTCCAGCCTGCCTGTCACCCTCTTTGTCAGCCCCCCAGCCCAGTATAGGTCTCCCCTGGGGTTCATCATGATGGGCAGGGGATCCCGCCGTTGGGCCAGGCACCCACCCAGGTGTGACACCGGTCCCCTGCCTCATTGTCATCCAGGCTGGAGGGGAAGCGGGTCAGGGCGCAGAGGGAAGGCTTCTCCGAGGCAAAGGCCTCTCACTCACCCTTCTTCCACAGTACGAGAGCAAGCTGAGTGGCCTGAAGAAGCCCCCCATGCTTCAGCCCAGCAAGGAAGCCTGGTGAGCCCACACCCCACCCTCTCACTCCTGCCCTGTACCTTCCTGAGACCTGGGGGAGCATGGGGCCACCCTCCAGAAGCGGGGGTGGGGGCGGCGGTCCCAAGTGCCAAGCCCAGCTCCACCTCTTGATAGCAGTGTGGTTCCCTCAGACCAGAAGAAGGTGGTGGAGGGTGGGCTGTGGCTCTGAGAGGCTGGGGCTCAGATGGGCGGCAGCGTGGTCTGCCCGGGTTGTGGGTGTGCCCTCCTTGTCTCCCACACGGCTGGGCAGGGTTGGTGCTGAGCCCCACTGGGTGGGTGAAGTGCTGGGTGGAGGGAGGGAGTGGCCAGTCTTGGCTGCTGGAGGATGTGATGGGTGCGTGTTTGGGATGGAGGGATGGGAGTCTGGGTGGGTGGATGGGTACATGCTGGATGCTGGCCTGCTCTCTCTCCTGCCCTCCTTCCACCACCAGTATTTTTGTTTTGGGTATTTTTTTTTTTTTGAGCCAGAGTCTTACTCTGTCACCCAGGCTGGAGTGCAATAGCACAGTGTTGGCTCACTGCAACCTCTGCCTCCTGGGTTCAACCGATTCTCTTGCCGCAGCCTCCCAAGTAGCTGTGACCACAAGCGCATGCCACCTCGCCCTATTTTTAGTAGTGACAGGGTTTCACCATGTTGGCCAAGCTGATCTCGAACTCCTGGCCTCAAGTGATCCACCTACCTCGGCCTCCCAAAGTGTTGGGATTATAGGCGTGAGCCACGACGCCCAACCCACCATGAGTGTTTTTTAAAAATGCATATTTTTTCGTGGAGACCAGGTCTTACTATATTGCCCAAATATTTGTACTTGTTTTGTTTTTGAAGATGAAGTCTCATTCTGTCACCCAGGCTGGAGTGCAGTGGTGCAATCTCCACTCACTGCAACCTCTGCCTCCCGGGTTCAATGATTCTCTTGCCGCAGCCTCCCTAGTAGCTGGGACTACAGGTGTGCACCACCACACCCAGCTAATTTTTGTATTTTTAGTAGAGATGCAGTTTCACCATGTTGGCCTGGCTGGTCTTGAACTTCTGACCTCAAGTGATCTGCCCACCTCGGCCTCCCAAAGTGCTGGGAGTACAGGCGTGAGCCACCGCGCCCGGCCTAGGTTGGTGTGAAACTCCTAGGCTCAAATGATCCTCCCACCTCAGTCTCCTGAGTAGCTGGGACTACAGGCACGTGCCACCACACTCGGCTAATTTTTTATAATTTTTGTAGAGACAGGGTCTTGCTGTGTGGCCCAGGCTAGTCTTGAACTCCTGGGCTCAGATGATCCTTCTGCTTCGGCCTCCCAGAGCGCTGGGATTGCAGGTGTGAACCCCTGCGCCTGGCCTAGAAGTGTGAGGGAAGTCCCCACTCAGCGCCCAGGCCCGGGGCTCCATGCTGGGAACACAGGAGTGAGTGCCAGAGTCCCTGCCCCCGCATGCAGAGAGGCTGCTGGTCTTTAGCAGAGGACGGAGTTGGGCCTGCCTGGTTGGAGACAGTCACACGGCCAGTAGACAACCCACTGTAACACACGCCGCCCCGTGGGAAGACAGGATCCAGCCTCCCTCCCTCGCTCCCGAAGGCTGCACTGAGGCAGGAGGCAGGGTGGAGCCACACTGCCCCCAGGTGGCGGGAGGCAGAATAGCAGCTTCCAGGCTCTGGCCTGGCTCCTGCTCTGCTCTTGCTCCCAAATGTGCTCTGAGGAGTGACTTCACATCCCTTTCTCGACCTCACCTTCCCCTTCTGTAAAATGGGGATAGCGATGGCACTGCTTTGTTCTGCTCCACTCAGTGAGACAGAACAAGCAGGCTCAGCACACGCGAGCACCGCTGCCAAGTCCTCCCCTTCCCTGTTGTATTCAGCTTCGGCCTGGGGCTCAGGGTTCAGGGGCTTCCCCTGGCCCTCACCCGCTCTACCCCCCGCCGTGTGTGGTCTCTCCCCTCTCCACCCGTAGTTTCCTGGAGCATTTGCACAAACACCAGGGCTCCGTCCTGCACCCCGACTACAAGACGGCCTTCCCCTCCTTTGAGGATGCGCTGCATCGCCTCCTCCCCTACCACGTCTACCAGGGCACCCTCCCCTCCCCCAATGACTACCACAAAGGTAAGGCCTTCCCAGGACACCGCCCTATATGTCCTGGGGGACCGCAGCCGGAGGGGCGGGGCACCACCAGTGTGGAGTCGTGGGTGCTCGGTGCGCGATGCTGACTCTGCCCCGCCCTCCTTCCTGCGTGTGCATCCACGGGTCTGCGCGCCCCAACATCGCCACCCCTGCCTCTCTTCCCTTCCTTGCAGTGGACGAGGAGTTTGAGACGGTCTCCACGCAGCTGCTGAAACGCACCCAGGCCATGCTCAATAAATACCGGCTCCTGCTCCTGGAGGAGTCCCGGGTAGGGTCAGAGTCACCTCTGGGCTCCTCCCCACTGGGACATGGCCCCTTCCCCTGGCCTGCTCTGCACGCAAAGTGGACTCCTCCCCTCCTAGCCAGAGGAAGGGGGTTGGGAGGGGGGCGGGAGCTCTGATCACAAGGGAGACAGTTTGGACCCTGCACGTATCGTCCCCATCGCTCACACCCCTTCCCCCTTCTTGCTGGTTCACTCTTGCTGATTCTTCTTTTCCCCTGACCCCCAGAGGGTGAGCCCCTCAGCGGAGATGGTAATGATCGACCGAATGTTCATTCAGGAGGAGAAGACCACCCTTGCCTTGGATAAACAGCTGGCCAAGGAGAAGCCAGGTGAGCTGGGGATGAGAGCGGAGGGGAGGGAGAGGTGCACCCCCCCCCCCCGCCCCCGCAGAAGACTTAGATTCAGGGTGGGAATGGGTGCATGGTCCTACCTCACTCCACCACCAGGAGGCGCCCCAGCCCCACCTTCCTGCTGCGGCTGGGCCTCCCCTGACCTCCTGCATCCGAGACCAGAGAGCCCACATCCATCTTCCTCCATCCTTATGTGTCCCTTTCAACCCTGCCACTCTGGGATGGGGGGAATATTCTGCCACCCCGAGGACAGAAAACAGGAGAGCCGATGCCTAGGTTGCAAAATATATAAGGTGGCGCCTACTCTTGGGTGCCTGTCCTGAGTGCCTCCTTAAGTGTCGCGCCTTTGGCGGCTCGCTGGTCTCTAGTCTGCTGTCTGCAGGAAGTGGCACAGGCTGATCCCAGCTGCCAGAGCTTCCAAATATCCCCGTAGCCCTCCCCCATGGCTTCCCTGCTTTCTGCTTCCAGCCCAGGCTTTTCACCTTGAGCTCTGGACCTTAATTTGGAAAAAGTGGCCATTGGTACTTAAATGGGTGCAAAGGGGCGGCCGTAGTGAAGGAGGCAGGAGTGATTCTGAAATCTCTTGGGTGGGAGAGGAAGGATAGTTCCTTGGTTCGGGGCACGATGCTGGAGTCTTGGTTCAAATCCTGGTTCTGCCACTTGCTCACTGTGACCTCGGGCAAGTTACTGACCTTCTCTGTGTCTCCGTGTTCTCATTTTATAAAGTGGGGTTTGGCAGGATCAGTTTACAGTCTTGTCTGACACCCTGGGTGCCTATGTGCTGGAATCGTCTGCTTTTAGAAAGGTGATAAGCTGCCTACGTGCTGTCTTGTGATTTACCCCCAGTGGGTTTGGGGAAGCACTCTGTGATCCAACACACTCATATTTCTGCAGTGAAACCAATGGGTATCCAGAGTAGATGGGACACGTGAAGACCATAAGTAACCTTATGCAGCAGGGCACGATGGCTCACGCCTGTGCTCCTGGAGCTTTGGGAGGCCGAGGCAGGCAGATCACGTCAGGTCAGCAGTTTGAGACCAGCCTGGCCAACATGGCGAAACCCTATATCTACTAAAAATACAAAAGTTAGCTGGACGTGTGGTGCACGGCTGTAGTCCCAGCTACTCGGGAGGCTGAGGCAGGAGAGTCGCTTGAACCCAGGAGGCGGAGGTTGTTGCAGTGAGCCAAGATGGCGCCACTGCACTCCAGCCGAGGCAACAGAGTGAGACTGTCTCAAAAAAAAAAAAAAAGTCATGTTATTTCACACCAGATTTTGAAATTGGATACTTCCTCACCCCCAGTTTAAAAAATATACGAGCAGTGCTGTCCGGTTTAACTTTTTTTTTTTTTTTTTTTTTTTTTGAGACGGAGTTTCGCTCTTGTCACCCAGGCTGGAGTGCAATGGCACGATCTCAGCTCACCGCAGCCTCCGCCTCCTGCCTCAGCCTCCTGACGTGCTGAGATGACAGGCCTGAGCCACCGCGCAGACCTTGTATTCTCTTCATTCATTTAACTCTGAATGAGCCCCACGTGGTTCGTGGCCGCTGTGCCAGACACGGTGGTTTAGAGTTGGGGGAATCTGGGCTTCGCTGAAGAAGGTCACAGGCAGCCTGTCCTGAGGATTTGAGGGGGCCAGGGCGCAGCCTGGTGTCTGGGTGGCAGTCGCTGCTCACTGCACACAGCTCCTCCCAGCAGGGTCGGTGGCCTCATCCTAACCCTGTGCTTTCTTCGCCCCTGATTCTGCAGACGAGTATGTGTCTTCTTCCCGCTCGCTCGGCCTCCCTGTGACAGCCTCTTCCGAGGGTCATAGGCTCCCCGGCCACGGCCCCCCGTCGTCCTCGGCTCCCGGGACCTGCGCCCAGCCCCCTCCGCACCTGCCCACCAAGCTCGTGATCCGGCACGGCGGGGCAGGCGGCTCCCCTTCGGTCACCTGGGCCAGGGCGTCCTCCTCCCTGTCGTCCTCCTCCTCCTCCTCCTCCTCTGCCACCTCCTCCCTGGACGCCGACGAGGACGGCCCCATGCCTTCCCGCAACCGTCCGCCCATCAAGACCTACGAGGCCCGGAGCCGCATTGGACTCAAGCTCAAGATCAAGCAGGAAGCCGGGCTCAGCAAGGTCGTGCACAACACGGCCCTGGACCCCGTGCACCAGCCCCCACCACCCCCAGCCGCTCTCAAAGTGGCCGAGCCCCCGCCGCGGCCCCCGCCGCCCCCGCCTCCCACGGGCCAGATGAACGGCACCGTGGACCACCCGCCGCCCACCGCCCCCGAGCGCAAGCCCCTGGGCACCACCCCGCACTGCCCGCGCCTGCCGCTGCGCAAGACCTACCGCGAGAACGTGGGGGACCCCGGCGCCCAGGAAGGGGTGCCCGCGGGCAGGGCGCGGGGAGGCAGCCCAGCCCCACTGCCAGCCAAAGTGGACGAGGCCACCAGCGGGCTCATTCGCGAGCTGGCGGCCGTGGAGGACGAGCTGTACCAGCGCATGCTCAAGGGCGCCCCTCCGGAGCCCGCAGCCAGCGCCGCCCAGGGCACCGGGGACTCTGGCTGGGAGGCTCCCACGCTGCCCCCTGCCAAGCGGCGCAAGTCCGAGTCGCCTGACGTGGACCAGGCCAGCTTCTCCAGCGACAGCCCACAAGATGACACGCTCACCGAGCACCTGCAGAGCGCCATCGACAGCATCCTGAACCTGCAGCAGGTCCCCGGCCGGACACCCGCGCCCCCGTACCCCCACGCCGCCCCGGCCGGCACACCTGCCTCCCCGCCGCCCCTGCACAGGCCCGAGGCCTACCCGCCCTCCAGTCACAACGGTGGCCTCGGTGCCAGGACGTTGACCAGATAACACCGGGCCGGCTTCCCTTCCCCTCCTCTCCTCCTGCAGACGTCGCCAGGACAGCGGCGCGTCCGCCCCCAGCCTCCTGCAGACTCGAGCCGGGGATCCCCTAACGGTTTTTCTTGCCTAAGTTATTTGAGTCACAAAGGCCTCCTTCCCCGCCGCCTGCTTCTGCTGGGTGGCTGGGGGCTGGGCACGGCGGCGTGGATTTCGGGGAAGGGCTGTGCTGCCAAACGTCCCCCCTGCCAGAGGAGGGGCAAATCGGTGTGTCCGTTCCTGTGTCTTCCCACTTCCTGGCACACTGCCCCTCTGTCCGGGGTACATGCGCGCGTGTTTGCCAGGGATGGGGCCGCCAGGTTGATGCCAACGCTCCGGGTGCCTGTCTTGTCCGTGTGGCTTCGCTGATGGTGGAGGGCGCTGGGAGCTGGCAGGGTCCTTCCAGACAGGCTCCGCTTCTCCCCACCGCCCCCAACAGGCCGTTAAACAAAACCAGAGAGGGGGTGGGGGAGCCAGCCTCCCTGGCTGTGCCCGCAGGCACCCGTGTGACATGCGCACGTCCAGCACATGACCTGTGTCCCCCCCATGTGTGTGTGTGTGCGCGCTCGCGTGCAAGTGAGTGAGAAATTTCGAACGCTCCCATCCCTCGACTTTGAAATCTGAGCAAAACAAGAAATTGGGGTCTTCCTCTCCCCCGACACCCTCCCCAGCCAGTCTTCCCTCTGTTCTTCCTGCCTCCATCCACCCGCGCCAGGTTTTGAAATCTCGGAGACAAAACTAGTACTGTAAGATAAAGTTTTTTGTACTGTATTTATTGTGTATAACGATTTTTTTAAAGGAGAATTCTGTACATTTAGAACTCTTGTAAATTAAAAACCAATCCTTTTTTTAAAACTGTACTCACGCCCCCTTGGCCCATTGCTTTGGGTGTTTGAGGGTGGGGGAGTGTTCGGATCTGGGTCGTGAGGCCGCCTTCTGTATTGGTGGAGCACCTACTGAGTGCCAGGCCCCATTCTAGCCTCAGGGTTCAACATGAACAAGGCAGGTGGGAGTTCCGCTGACAAGCTGACTTGGTAGTGTGGAAGGCAGACAGTAAACAGCTAAGCTGAATTCAGCCAATTCTTATCCCCCGTGAGGTTCTGTGTATCTGCAGATACTGAAAATCAGTGACTACCAAGCCATTACCCCCAGGGAGACAGGGTGAGGTTCTCAAGAGCCTCTGATCACCACATTTTGGTCAATACATCACCTTGGTTTACGTGTGTTGCTGTTTAAAAACATTTATGTACTTTTGAGATGGGCTGACTGTCACTCAGGCTGGAGTGCAGTGGCACGATCATGGCTCACTGCAGCCTTGACCTCCCAGGCTCAAGCGATCCTCCCACCACAGCCCCCCAGGTAGCTGGGATTACAGGTGCACCACCACGCCTAGCTCATTTTTTTAGTTTTTTTTTTTGTAGATGTGGGATCTCACTATGTTGCCCAGGCTGGTCTGAAACTCCAGGGCTCAAGTGATCCTGGCCTTGGCCTCTGGAAGTGCTGGGAATACAGGCATGAGCCACCATGCCCAGCCCTAAAGGTATCTTATTTAATACATACTGTTGATTCATTCACATGGAGGTCACACCAACCCCACTATAACTCGAACCTGGAGGAAGCCTATCTCACACTTTTTTTTTTTTTTGAGATGGAATCTCACTCTGTTGCCCACATTAGAGTGCAGTGGCGCAATCTTGGCTCACTGCAACCTCCGCCTCCTGGGTTCAAAGTGATTTCTCCTGCCTCAGCCTCCCGAGTAGCTGGGATTACAGGCGCCCACCACCACACCCGGCTGATTTTCCTATTTTTAATAGAGATCGAACCACTGACCTCAAGTGATCCATCGACCTCTGCCTCCTAAAGTGCTGGGATTACAGGTGGGATTATATAAATATAAATATATAAATATAAATAAATAAATATACAGCCACCACGCCCGGCTGTACATTTATTTATTTAAGACAGAGTCTCACTTTGTGCTCTCAGCTCACTGCAACCTCTGCCTCCCGGGTTCAAGTGATTCTCCTGCCTCAGCCTCCCGAGTAGCTGGGATTACACGGACGTGCCACTGCACCCACCTAATTTTTGTTTTTTTTAGTAGAGACGGAGTTTCACCGTGTTGGCCAGGCTGGTCTCAAACTCCTGACCTCAAGTGATCCACTGGCCTTGGCCTCCCAAAGTGCTGGTATTACAAGCGTGAGCCACCGCGCCTGGCCCTATTCTATTTTTAGAGGTGAGTTCCAGCTCTGTCACCCATGCTGGAGTGCAGTGGCACAATCATAGCTCACTGCAGTCTTGACCTCCTGGGTTCAAACTATCCTTTCACCTCACCCTTCTGAGTTGCTGGGATTACAGGTGTGCTCCCTTGCGCCCGGCTAACTTATTTTATTATTTATTTTTATTTTTAATAGACATGGGGTCTCGCTATGTTGCCCAGACTCCTGGCCTCAAGCAATCTTCCCATCTTGGCCTTCCAAACTGTTGGGGTTACAGGTGTGAGCCAGGGCACCCGACCTAAATTATTGTTACTATTATTGCTGCTGCTGTTGTGATTCTCGTGTTAAGAAGAGCGACAGATTGGGGAGCCGCCCCCAGAGGTGGAGGTGGAATTCGAACCACGGGCTGGACGCTGGAGCTCTCGCCTGCCTCGCTAAGGCGTCCTCCTCACTCTCCACCAGGGGGCGCCAGAGGCCGGGAGCCCGGTTTGGGGACCGGGACGAGGGGGGGCGCCCCGTCCCGCCCCTCCCTATCGTCCTCCCTCCCGTTCTCTCCGCTGCTCCGGGGCCCCACCCGGCTCAGACGGCTCCGGACGGGACTGCGAGCACAGGCCTCTCCAAGGGCGCCTCGGATCCCCGCGGGACCCCCGCGCCCAGCCCGCCCAGCCCGCCCAGCCCGCAGCAGCCGCCAGCGCGCCCCGTCGGTGAGTGCTCCCCGCACCGCAGCTGTGGCCTCCCGACCCCCGCCCGAGCCTGCCCTGGTTCCGCGTGCATGATCCCTGCTCCCCGCCACCCTGTCCCGATCTCTAACGGTCTCCCCAGGTGTCCCCCTGTCCCTTCCAGTCTGCACCAGTCCCCCTAGTCTGTAACCATGTATCCCACTCCCCCAGTCCCCCCACTCTTCCTACAGTCTTTCGCAGCCTCTCCCACCGCCCCAGTCTCCTCCATTTCTCCCAACGCCCCGCCCCACCCCACCTCGACACCCCTCCCCACCCCCCCGCAACACCCCTCCCTATCTCCTGGCTAGAAGATCCTCTCTGGGGTCTCCCTTCACGCCCTCATCCCTGTCGGTTAACTTGGTCCCTCCAGCCTCTCAAGAGCCCCTGTCCTGCCTCCAACTCCATCAGCCACTGCGTTCAGCCACCACCAGGCATTATCCCCGGCTCTCTCCCAGGGCCCATCCGGCCTGCGGCACCGCCCAGAGCCCTCTCCCTCTGCCCACATCCCAGATCCTGCCTCTCTTTTCCATTCCTGTGACTCCTTCACGGACTCCTTCTCCTTCTATGTCCCCCACCCCGTCACCACCCCTTTTAAAAGTCCCATGATTTTATGGATTTTAGCATATTTGATTCACAGTTATTTTGATGCTCAAATTGCTTCAATTTGGTCCGGTGGGAGCCGCTGCAAGCTGGGTCCTCTGTTCCTGAAACATCCCCTATCCGCCTCTGAGCACTTCCTCACAGTCTTACCCAGGCTCACTTGCCCCAGCCCTGGAACCCACCATTTCTCTAAGGAGTCCCGGGTTCTTTTAGTGGGGAATGGTATTTAGAGACTCCACTCCGACGATAAAGTTGGTTCTTTGAAAAGATCAGTAAAATCATAAGCATAAACAGAGACCAATCATGCCTGAAAAAAAAAAAAAGAAAGAGAAAAGCAAAGACACACACATATGGCTGATATCAGGAATGAAAGACGGGACATCACTACAGACCCTACAGTGAATAAAAAGGTAGTAAGGGAGGGAAGAGAGAGAACACGGCCTTGGGGGGTGGGGTGCCCACTGCTCCTGCACTGGTCATTCTTTCCCTCCACAACTCAGATCTGTAGACCTGGGATAGGATTGCAAGCTCTGAGTTCAGGGTGCATCTTCTTTTTTCTCTTTTCTATTTTTTTTTTCTGTCACCAGGCTGGAGTGCAGTGGTGAGATTTTGGCTCACTGCAACCTCTGCCTCCCGGGTTCAAACGATACTCCTGTCTCAGCCTCCCCAGTAGCTGGGACTACAGGCGCCCACCACCACGCCCAGCTAATTTTTTGTATTTTTAGTAGAGACGGGGTTTCACCATGTTGGTCAGGCTGGTCTCGAACTCCTGACCTCGTGATCTGCCCGCCTCGGCCTCCCAAAGTGCTGGGATTACAGGCATGAGCCGCCTGCGCCCAGCCTGAGCATTTTCAAGCTAAGTGATTTGGGGTAGTTTATCTCTGTCTTCCTGAGCCTCCTTTGCCTTGTTAGAAAAGCAGGGATAACAGACTGACCTTACGGGGTTCCGAAGGTAAAGTCAGTTAGCACAGCCCCTCGCATGCAGGGGTCGTAAATGTTGCATTATTTTGCTTGTTAATACCCAAGGGCCCTCATGCCCTGGGTGCACCCAGGCCACCTTCTCAGCGCCATTTCTCACACCTCCTCTTTGTGCCCCTGTGTCTGGCCACCCATCCAGATGTTTCATGGCTCCCAACACATCAGGACCTCTCAGGCCACCGGGCCTTTGCACGCACTGTCCTCTCTGCCTTTTTTAAAAAATATATATATAGAGAGAGAGACAGGGTTTCACCATGTTGGTCAGGCTGCTCTCGAACTCCCGACCTCAGGTGATCAGCCTGCCTCAGCCTCCCAAAGTGCTGGGATTACAGGCATGAGCCACCGCGCCCGGTCTATCCTCTCTGCCTAAATGCCCTTATCTTGCCCACTCTTCACGGAGCAGCTCAAAAGTCAGTCCCGCCCAGAGTGGTACTGACGCTGTGGTCAGTTTCTCATGCCCTCCTCTGGATGTCTGCCATGTGTTCTGTCCTCACTGGGGGCTCTGGGTGGTTGGGGGATGATTTCGGGCTCTTTTCTGGGTCCATGGTGCCTGAAGCATGGAGTGAGGGATTTCAGTGAGCATGTGTCAGATGACGGAAGGGAGAAGGGAGGAAGAAATGAATGAAGGTGGCCGGAAGCGGTGGCTCACGCCTGTAATCCCAGCACTTTGGGAGGCCGAGGCGGGTGGATCACGAGGTCAAGAGATCGAGACCATTTCAATGGCCGAGATCGCGCCATTGCACTCCAGTCTGGGTAACAAGAGCGAAACTCCGTCTCAAAAAAAAAAAAAAGAAAGAAAAGAAATGAATGAAGGGATTAAGGAATCGTTTCTTCCGGCAGCTTCTGCATCCTTCTCCTGGTCCTTCTCTTGGTCTTCCACCGCCGCCATCCTTCTCCGACCAAATCACCGTCAGCCTCTCTCTTCCCCCAGCTGCTTCACTATCACCTCCCTCTTTTTTTGTTTTTTTTTTTTTTAGACGGAGCCTCACTCTGTCGAGTGCAGTGGCGGGATCTCGGCTCCCTACAACGTCTGCCTCCTAAGTTCAAGCGATTCTCCTGCCTCAGCCTCCCAAGTAGCTGGGACTACAGGCGTGTACCACCACGCCTGGCTAATTTTTTGTATGTTTAATAGAGACGGCATTTCACTGGGCAGGCTGGTGTCAAACTCCGGACCTCAGGAGGTCCACCCGCCTTGGCCTCGAAAGTGCTGGGATTACAGGTGTGAGCCACTGCGCTCAGCCTTTTTTTTTTTTTTTTTTTTTTGAGATGATGTCTCGCTCTGTAGCCCAGTACTGTCATAGCTCACCGCAGCCTTGAACTCCTGAGCTCAAGCAATCCTCCTGTCTCAGTCTCCCAAAGTGCTGGGACTACAGGCATGTACCACCATGCCCTGCTAATTATTAGTTTTTTGGTAGAGGTGGTTGGGGGGCGGGGTCTCACTATTTTACCCAGGCTAGTCTTGAACTGCTGATCTCAAGCAATCCTCCTGCCTCAGCCTCCCAAGATACTGGGATTGCAGGCATGAGCCACCATGCCTGGCCCAATTCCCATCTTCCTCCTACTCTGTGACCAGCCATTTGTGACCACAAATATCTGTGCTCCTCCTCCTCCTCCTCCACGCGTCCTGCCACGCAGACGTTCTACATCCAGTCCCCTTCCCTCCTCCTTGGCCCGGCAGCCCAGGCTCACGCCCTCCCCTCATCCCACAGGCAGTTCTTCACCGGCTCGTCTCTCCGTGAACCCCGTGGGCAGGCGCAGCCACCATGTTCAGCTGGCTGAAGCGGGGCGGTGCCCGGGGCCAGCAGCCTGAGGCCATCCGCACCGTGACCTCGGCCCTCAAGGAGCTGTACCGCTCCAAGCTGCTGCCGCTGGAGGAGCACTACCGCTTCGGGGCCTTCCACTCGCCCGCCCTGGAGGACGCAGACTTCGACGGCAAGCCCATGGTGCTGGTGGCCGGCCAGTACAGCACGGGCAAAACCAGCTTCATCCAGTACCTGCTGGAGCAGGAGGTGCCCGGCTCCCGCGTGGGGCCTGAGCCCACCACCGACTGCTTTGTGGCCGTCATGCATGGGGACACCGAGGGCACCGTGCCCGGCAACGCTCTTGTCGTGGACCCGGACAAGCCCTTCCGCAAACTCAACCCCTTCGGAAACACCTTCCTCAACAGGTGCACCAGCCAGGAGCCCAGGGCACACCCATCCCCCTCCCTCCCTCCCTCCCTTCCTCCCTTTCCTCCCTCTCTTCCCTTCCTCCCTTCCCTTCCCTCCCTTCCTCTCCCTCCCTTCCCCTTTCCTCCCTTCCCATCCTTCCCTCCGTCTTCCTCTTCCCCCCTCCCTCCCTTCCTCTTCCCCCCTCCCTCCCTTCCTTCTCTCCCTCCCTCCCCCTTCCCTCCCTTCCCTTCCCTCCCTCCTTCCTTCCCTCCCTCCCCTCCCTCCTTCCTTCCTTCCCTCCCTTCCCTCCCTCCTTCCTTCCTTTCCTTACCCTCTCCTCCCTCCCTCCTTCCTTCTTTCCTTCCTTTGCCAGGCTGGTCTCAAACTCCTGGCCTCAGGTGATCCACCCTCCTTGGCGTCCCAAAGTGCTGGGATTACAGGTGTGAGCCGCTGCACCCAGCCCTGGGGGTGCATCTTGCTGTCCCCCTTCTCTGTCCCCTCCCTGATGGTGTTTCCCTCCTTCTTAGCCCCGATTCCCTTCTCTCTACCCAACTCTCCCCAAGCCTCTCCGCTCTCTTCTCCAGGGGAGAGCTGAGGCTGGTGAAGTCAGCATGCCGGGGGCACATCCCAGCCAGCTGGGCGGCCTCAGGCAAATGACTTGGCCTCTTTGCCTCTCTTGTAGCCTCATCTGCAAAATGGGGATCAATCACCTTGGCCAACATGGTGAAACCCATCTCCACCAAAAATACAAAAGATGAGCCAGTCCTGGTGGTGGGCACCTATAATCCCAGCTACTCAGGAGGCTGAGGCAGGAGAATCCCTTAAACCCAGGAGGCGGAGGTTGCAGTGAGCTGAGATCGCACCATTGCACTCCAGTCTGGGTGACAAGAGCGAAACTGCATCTTAAAAAAAAATATATATATATATAAAAGTGAACAGCACCTGGCACAGATTAAGTGCTCCCTGAACAGGAGTCATGGCTGGTGAGGGCTCTGAGACAGTCCTGGTCTCCCCATCTCTGTCTGGGGTCTTTCTTTGCCTGTACAGGATGCTCTGCCTGGGGCCCGAGTCCCTCCTCATGCTTTCCCTCCTCTGTCCTCCCCTGTGTTGACCCCAACCCTCCCTCTGCCTCCAGGTTCATGTGTGCCCAGCTCCCCAACCAGGTCCTGGAGAGCATCAGCATCATCGACACCCCGGGCATTCTGTCGGGTGCCAAACAGAGGGTGAGCCGAGGTGAGTGGGGCCAGACCCCAGGGTCTGAGGGAGGAGGGGCTGGGCCTGGACTCCTGGGTCTGAGGGAGGAGGGGCTGGGCCTGGACTCCTGGGTCTGAGGGAGGAGGGGCTGGGCCTTGACCCCTGGGTATGAGGGAGGAGGGCCTGGGGTCTGGACCCCTGGGTATGAGGGAGGAGGGCCTGGGGGCCTGGACCCCTGGGTCTGAGGGAGGAGAAGCTGGGGGCCTGGACCCCTGGGTCTGAGGGAGGAGAGGCTGGGGGCCTGGACCCCTGGGTCTGAGGGAGGAGAGGCTGGGGGCCAGGACCCCTGGGTCTGAGGGAGGAGGGGCTTCGGTCTGGACCCCTGGGTCTGAGGGAGGAGGAGCTGGGGGACTGGACTCCTGGGTCTGAGGGAGGAGGGGCTGGGGTCTGGACCCCTGGGTCTGAGGGAGGAGGGGCTGGGGTCTGGACCCCTGGGTCTGAGAGAGGAGGGGTTGGGGTCTGGACCCCTGGGTCTGAGGGAGGAGGGCCTGGGGTCTGGATCCCTGGGTCTGAGGGAGGAGGGGCTGGGGTCTGGACCCCTGGGTCTGAGGGAGGAGGGGCTGGGGTCTGGACCCCTGGGTCTGAGGGAGGAGGGGTTGGGGTCTGGACCCCTGGGTCTGAGGGAGGAGGGGTTGGGGTCTGGACCCCTGGGTCTGAGGGAGGAGGGCCTGGGGTCTGGACCCCTGGGTCTGAGGGAGGAGGGCCTGGGGTCTGGACCCCTGGGTCTGAGGGAGGAGGGGCTGGGGTCTGGACTCCTGGGTCTGAGGGAGGAGGGTCTGGGGTCTGGACTCCTGGGGGTGAGGGAGGAGGGGCTGGGGTCTGGACTCCTGGGTCTGAGGGAGGAGGGGCTGGGGTCTGGACTCCTGGGTCTGAGGGAGGAGGGGCTGGGGGCCTGGACTGGGTCTGAGGGAGGAGGGCGGGGTCTCCGCTGGGACCTGGGCCTGTGTCCTCTGGCCCTGGCTGGCCGGGGCAGCTGCCAGGAGCTAGTGGAAGCCGTGACTGCTCCGTGCTGGCTGGCGCTGATGGAAGGGGGAGGTGTGTGGGTGACCACGTGGTGGGAGTGGGCAGGAGCGGCATGTCTGGGCAGTTGATTAGAATGGGGAGAGGTGAAGAGGGACAGGGATTCCGAGGCAATGAGGCAGCAGTGCAGGGAGACACAGGCCCAGAGGCGAGGCAGCACCGAGGCTGGGCCCTGAGACCTCCTGGCTCCACGTCTGGGCCACAGATGGGGCTGAGAAGGGGATGGGAGGGGAATCTGGGTGGGGGCCAAGGCCGGGCCTGGAATTTATAAACAGCTGTTCGAGGAGAGCGGGGGGTTGGATTCCAGCAGGGGCCTCCGGGTGCGCGGAGCCCCACCACCCCTCCCCGCCCAGCTCTGCATCTGTGTCCCCCACCCCCCACGGGCCGGAACTGGGGCAAAGGAGGCGGCCATGTGGGTCAGAGGGGATGGGAGGCCCCAGCAAGGAGGCTGGGCCTGGGGTGCGGTGGGGGCGCCGGGGGTGAGCGTGTCCCTGGCCTCCGTCCAGAGGCCCCACGGGAGAAAGGCAGGAGGCAGCTGCAGAAACCATTGGGAGGACGCGCTGCCTGCCAAGGGGTGGAATTCCTGGGGCTCCCACCGCAGGGCCTGGGCCTGGGACAGCAGGACCGACCGAGTGGCTCTCTCGGCCTGGGCAGGGGTGCGGGCAGGGGGCGGTGGTGGGTGCTTGGGGAGTGGGGAACGGTGTCTCCTTCCCTGGCCTTGAGGGCAGAGGAAGAGGAGGAGAGAGTGTCCATCTGTTGGTGTGTGTGTGTGTGTGACTTGGTGCATATCTTGGGAAAGTGTGTCATTGTGAGCATACAGCTGGGTGTGGTGGTTCCTCGGGTTTGCCTGTAGCCGTGGACGTGCCTCATCCGGGCCATGGCTCTGAGGTTGTGTGACTTCAAACTGTGTACATGCCTGTGTGTGTGTGTGTGTGTGTGTGTGTGTGTTGTGTGTGTGCGCGTGCACCTCTGTGCAGGTCCCAGATTGTGAACACGGGTGTGTCTGGGAGCCTGTATCTTGTAGTAATTGGCTATATTTGTGTCCGGGTCTGTGCCTCTGTGTGTGTGTGTGTGTGTGTGTGTGTGTGTGCGCGCGTGCACCTCTGTGCAGGTCCCAGATTGTGAACACGGGTGTGTCTGGGAGCCTGCATCTTGTAGTAATTGGCTATATTTGTGTCCGGGTCTGTGCCTCTGTGTGTGTGTGTGTGCGCGCGCGTGCACGTGTGAGCTCACGTGTGAGGCTGCCTCTTCATGCAAGATCTGTAAACACATGTGTGATTGTAGCATAGTGAATCCCTCCAATCTGGGCTCTGCTACTTTTATTTATTGATTTCCTGCTACTTTTAAACTGTGGGACCTTGGGCAAGCCACTTAACCTCTCTTTGCCTCAATTTTCTTATCTGCAAAATGAGAAAACATATAGGCCGGGTGCAGTGACTCATGCCTGTAATCCCAGCACTTTGGCTGAGGCAGGCAGATCATCTGAGGTCAGGAGTTCGAGACCAGCCTGGCCAACACGGTGAAACCCTGTCTCTACTAAAAATACAAAAATTAGCCTGGCATGGTGGCACGTACCTATAATCCCAGCTACTCGGGACCCTGAGGCGGGAGAATCGCTTGAACCTGGGAGGTGGAGGTTGTAGTGAGCTGACATCACGCCATTGCACTCCAGCCTGGGTGACAAAAACAAAAAACAAAAACCACAGTGGGAATGATAACACTGGGAGCCTCATAGTTGCCGAAGGGTTAGTTAAAAAACATAACAAAGCACTCAGAACAGTGTGCGTGCACACAGTAGGTGCTATGGAAGTGCCAGCGATGCCTGTTTTTCTTGGGCGAGTGTCATCGTGGACCCTTCCTGCCACGTCTCCATCCCACACTGACTCAACCCCTCTCCCTCCTTCCCTCCCCGCCCCATGAGACACACTTTCCAAATCTGGGACAGTGTGTGTGTTCTCGGAGACACCGGGAGGGAGAGGGGATCCAGCTGCTGTCCCTCCAGTGACCTGGGCCTTCCTCCCCCAAACGATGCCCCCCCCACCCCCAGCCCAACCTCCTTGACGCCCTCAGGGAGGCTGCTTCCCCCCAGGCAGGATGGGCACGATCACCAGCTCTCCAGAGGAGCATAGAGACCCAGGGGGCTCCTCTTCTTTCGCCTGTTATCTGTGTGTCTTGAGTAAGTCCCCTGACTTCTCTGTGCCTCAGTTTCCTCATCTGGAAAATGGGGTCAGAACAGCATCCACCTCCTGGGGTTGTCCTGAAGAGTCACTGACTGAATTTTATCTGGAGGGCATGAAGTCGGTAATTTGGTAATTCGGTAATTCGGGCAGCTCCCTGTTCTGCCAGTTAACTCTTTGTCCTCTGGGTCCACACTCTGCATTCCCTCATCCAGGAAGTCATCCCTGACTCCCCAGGCTTGGAACTGGGTCAGGCACTGGTCCTGGGCTCCCACAGCTCCCTGGCGCCCCCTGCCCATCCCAGCCTGATCACTCAGGGGCCAGGTCTGTGTCCCCAGTGGGCTGAGAGCTGTAAGGACAGGGCCGGGACTGCCTCAGCCTCCACACACACGGCAGGTAGTGCAGGGGGTGCTTCCTGAGTGGATCCCCGTGGGTGACGTCACGATGACTTGCTGAGCGCTTACTGTGCATCCAGCACTATTTTTTAAAAACAGTTTCATTGAGGTTTAACTAACGCGCCACTAAAGCTCAACCATTTTTTTTTTTTTAAAGAGACAAGGTCTTGCTCTGGCGCAAATTAACATCTGCTGTGGCAAGAGCCCAGCCGTCCAGCATGAACTCTAACTGCTGGATCGTGGGGAGATCCAACAGGTCCTGGAGAGAGGAGTTGGGGTGATAGAGGCGTGTGGCAGTCTGGGGGCTTCCACAGAAGCACAGGGGATCTCAGGAAACATGTCTGTATTTTTTTTTCTTTTTTACAACATGTCTGTATTTTTAACAACCTACAAATACGTACCAACCAATAATATCTGCCTAATGAATGAGCGAACGAAAAAACGAAGGCTCATGCCTGTAATCCCAACGTTTTGGGAGGCAGAGGCAGTAGGATCGCTTGAACTCAAGAGTTTGAGAGCAGGCGGGGTAACATAGTGAGACTCCATCTCTACAAAAAAAAAAAAAACAAAAACCCCAAAACCAATTAGCCAGATGTGGTGACACACACCTGCAGTCTCAGCTACTGGGGAGGCCGAGGTGGGAGGATTGCCTGAGCTCTTGGAGATGAAGTTTGCAGAGAGGCGTGATCCTGCCATTGCACTCCAGCAAAGAAAAGGAGGATGGACAGGGCGCGGTGGCTCACGCCTGTAATCCCAGCACTTTGGGAGGCCAAGGCTGGAAGATCACAAAGGTCAAGAGATTGAGACCATCCTGGCCAACATGGTGAAACCCTGTCTCTACTAAAAATACAAAAATTAGCCGGGTATGGTGGCGCACGCCTGTAATACCAGCTACTCAGGAGGCTGAGGCAGGAGAATCACTTGAACCCGGGAGGCGGAAGTTGCAGTGAGTCGAGATCGCGCCGCTGCACTCCAGCCTGGCAACAGAGTGAGACTTCATCTCAAAAAAAAAAAAAGAAAAAAAAGCAAGGGTGGGGTGATTGCCCCCTGTAGCTAGATGGCTTGAGGGGCTGGGTCCAGAGTTAGGGAGGAGATTGTGGGGCCTGGGAAGCCGGAGCAGCGGTACCCACTGAGGGCGTTGGCTGTTTTGCCCAGACAGGATTTGAACAGCCAACCACGTGAACCTCTTTACAGTGCAATATGCAAGAGAATGGCTGGAGGGTGGGGGTCTGACCTCTGCCCCTTGCGCCTGTCTCCCCACTCCCTTGCCAGGCTACGACTTCCCGGCCGTGCTGCGCTGGTTTGCGGAGCGCGTGGACCTCATCATCCTGCTCTTCGACGCGCACAAGCTGGAGATCTCGGACGAGTTCTCCGAGGCCATCGGCGCGCTGCGGGGCCACGAGGACAAGATCCGCGTGGTGCTCAACAAGGCCGACATGGTGGAGACGCAGCAGCTGATGCGCGTCTACGGCGCGCTCATGTGGGCGCTGGGCAAGGTGGTGGGCACGCCCGAGGTGCTGCGCGTCTACATCGGCTCCTTCTGGTCCCAGCCCCTCCTCGTGCCCGACAACCGGCGCCTCTTCGAGCTGGAGGAGCAGGACCTCTTCCGCGACATCCAGGGCCTGCCCCGGCACGCCGCCTTGCGCAAGCTCAACGACCTAGTGAAGAGGGCCCGGCTGGTGCGGGTGAGTAGTCTCGGGGGCTGGGCGCGCATTCTGGGAGGAGGGCGCAGGGGGAGCCCCTGCCTTTCCTTAGTCCTCCCCTACCAGTGCTGCGAGTCCTTGACTTACCAGTGCCCAGATCCGTTTTCTTGAAGTTGGGTCATTCTGGCGCGGAGTGGAGCGGGGAGGGGAAATTGCACGCAGGCTCATTCCTCAGCCTTTCCATTTCTGTGTCAAATTCCTGTCTCCCTGGCTTCTCTGTCCTGATATTTCTTCTCTTCTTTCTTCTTCTCATCCTCCTCCTCCTTCTTCCTCTTGCTCCTCCCCCTTCCTCCTTCTCCTCCTCCCTTCTAATACTCTCTCCCTTCCTCCCTCCTCCCTTTCTCCTTCCTTCCATCCTCTTTCCTTCCCTCTTATTCCTTTTTTTTTTTTTTTAAGATGGGGTCTTGCTCTGTTACCCTGGCTGGAGTGCAATGATGCAATCACAGCTCACTACAGCCTGGAACTCCAGTGCTCAAGGGATCCTCCCTCCTCAGCCTGCCCCAAGTAGCTGGAGCCACAGGCACATGCCACCACACCCAGCTCATTTTTTATTTTTTGTAGAGATGGGGTCTTGCTATGTTGCCCAGGCTGGTCTAGAACTCCTGCCCTCAAGTGATCCAACTCCCTTTGGCCTTCCAAAGTGCTGGGATTACAGGCATAGCTGTATTGAATTTTTGAGATTCCTATAAAATATAGACATACCAATACTCATTATTCTACCCTCCTTGTTTGTTTTTTGATAATTTATAAGATTGTGGCTCAAAGGTTCTCAAATTCATTGGTTTATTCCACAAATATTTCTTTCCTCCTCCTCCTCCTCCTCCTCCTCTTCTTCTTCCTCCTCCTCCTCTTCTTCCTCCTCCTCCTCCTCCTCCTCCTCCTCCTCCTCCTCCTCTTCTTCTTCTTCTTCTTCTTCTTCGAGATGGACTTTCATTCTCATTGCCTCAGCTGGAATGCAATGGTGTGATCTTGGCTCACCGCTACCTCCACCTCTGGGGTTCGAGCCATTCTCCTGCCTCAGCCTCCGGAGTAGCTGGGATTACAGGCACACACCACCATGACTGGCTAATTTTGTATTTTTAGTAGAGATGGGGTTTCACCATATTGGTCAGGCTGGTAACCTGAAGTCCAACTCCCTATCTCAGGTGATCCACCCGTCCTGGCCTCCCAAAGTGCAGGGATTACAGGCATGAGCCACTGTGCCCCACCCACAAATATTCCCTGAATGCTTTCTGTACACATGGTGCTGGCACTGGGGATGGAGGGAACAGACGAGGGTTTGGCCCTCCTGGAGCTCATCTTTTTTAAAATTTTTGTTAATTGAGCTGGGCGTGGTGGCTCATGCCTGTAATCCCAGCACTTTGGGAAGCTGAGGTGGGCGGATCACCTGAAGTCAGGAGTTCGAGACCAGCCTGACCAATATGGTGAAACCCGGTCTTAAAAAAAAAATTTATTTATTTATTTATTTATTTTTAAGCTGGTCAAATTTAGTAGTGGGGGCAGGGGAGGCTGCATGCCAACTTTAGTGACACTCAAACTAATAAGTTCTGATAACCAAGGCTGGGCACAGTGCCTCACTCCTGTAATCCCAGCACTGTGGGAGGATGGCTGGAGCCCAGGCATTGGAGACCAGCCTGGGCAACATAATGAGACCCCATCTCTATTTAAAAAAAAAAAGCCAGCCATGGTGGCTCACGCCTGTAATCCCAGCACTTTGGGAGGCCGAGGTCGGCAGATCATGAGGTCAGGAGATCGAGACAATCTTAGCCAACATGGTGAAACCCCGTCTCTACTAAAAATACAAAAATTAGCCAGGTGTGGTGGCCCGTGCCTGTAATCTCAGCTATTCAGGAGGCTGAGGCAGGGGATTCCCTTGAACCCAGGAAATGGAGGTTGCAGTGAACAGAGATCATGCCACTGCACTCCAGCCTGGGTGACAGTACAAGACTCTGTCTCAAAAAAAAAAAAAAGATGAATTTTTCCATCTTAGGCGCTTCACACCACCCGTCTCCGGTGACACCTGTGCGATCGTGGCCACAGGCTGTCTCCTTCCCTCACTCCCATCTCTGTTCTCATCTCCCCTTCCCTTCCCATCATCCCCTGCACTTCACACTGGTGGCCTCGTCCTGCCCTGGGTCCAGTGTGCTTGCAGGTCCCTCCTCCTGGAAGCCTCTTCTGCCTTCTTCCCCCTCCCACCTGGCCATCCCCAAGGCACACTCACTCCTCACCCCTTTCAAGGCTCTGCTCAAATGCTCCCCTCTCAGGAAAGCTGTCCCTGCCTCCTTTGAATGAATATAACCCCCCACATGGGCCCTTCTTTACTCCAACACTGTTGCTGTTTTCTTTTCTTTTTTTTTTTTTTTGAGACAGAGTCTTGCTCTGTTGCCCAGGCTGGAGTGCAGTGGCATGATCTCGGCTCACTGCAACATCTGCCTCACGGGTTCAAGCGATTGTCCTGCCTCAGCCTCCAGAGTGGATTACAGGTGCTCACCACCACAGCCTGGCTAATTTTTTTTTTTTTTTTTTTTTTAAGATGGGGTTTCACCATGTTGGTCAGGCTGATCTTGAACTCCTGACCTCAGGTGATCTGCCCGCCTCAGCCTCCCACAGTGCTGGAATTACAGGCAAGAGCTACCTCGCCCTGCCAATGAGGGCTCTTGGAATTCCTTCACTGATTTATACCCAGCGCCCGGAACAGAATTGGTGCTCTGTAAATATTTATTGAATGAATGACATTGAACAAACAGCAGCATTGAACAAAATCTCCTCTATGCCTGGCCTGGTGTTGGGTGGTGCGGGGACACAGCAGTGACCACTGTGGTTCCAGCTCTGTCCTGCTCGGGCTCCCAGTCCTAGTAACGAAGGCAGTTCCAGGGCTCTGTGCTGGCTGGGGGTCCTGGAGCGGAGACAGATCCATCCCCACACAATGATGACGCGTGTGGTCAGAGCTGGGGCAGTGTAGCTGGGGGAGTCAGAGAGGGCTTCTTGGGAGGAGAGGGCATCTGAGGGAAGACATCAGTGTTGATCCCAGTGTAGACAGCGTGCCGAACTCAATTAGAGGCTGAGGCTGTGGTTGAGATCAGACCACAGGAGGTGGTGTGCGCTGTGTAGGGGAATCTGTGCTTTGTCTTAAGGGCACTGGGGAGCCACAGAAGGATTCGGAGCAGGAAAAGGAGGTAATTAGACACAAGCGACCTTTTGGAGGTTAGATTCGAGGCAGGTGAGTTTAGGGCATTCCTGACCAGGGAAAAGGCTGGAGGTTCCTGGATCAGGACAGGCCTTGGGGAGGGAGAGGAGAAAGGAGCGTGCCACTTCCAGAATGATTTTGGAGGCATTCACAGGGGAGACTGCCAGGGTGGAGGCAGGGCAGGAAGCTGGGCAGGCAGGGAGGCCCAGAACGTTCTGGGGGGTGGAGGAGCCTGAGGTGTTGCTTTAAGGAGCAGGGAGAGTGGGTGAGTCAGAGTCCCCACCCCCACCCCAGGAATCCTCCTTCAAAGGGAGCGGCCCAGTGTGGATGGCGCTGCCACTCCTGGAACTTCGGAATTCACCTTGGCCCCTCCGCCCACGCGGCTCTGGAGTGTCCGTCTCTTTCTATCAGTCCTGTTTCTACCTCTCTCTCAATCTCTTTCTTCTCCATTTTTACCTTCTCTTTTATTCTAACTCCCTTTCCTTCTCTTTCTCACCCTTTCTGTCTCCTCCTGTCTCTCCATCTCTCCCCCCACCCTCTCCCTGCCTTCCTCCGGGTCTGGCTCAGATTTCCCTAGGTTCGTTCCTGCGGGTCCCTTGGGGGGAATCTGGAGCCCAGGGCCCCAGGGACAGAGGGGCGGGGCCGGGCCAGACACCTGGTGCCCCCGCCAGGCTGGAGGCGGCTCCGGAAACCCAGACAAACCCCGGTGTCAGGGACCCAGCCCCGGCCCAGGCCGCCCTCCCACCTTATCTCTTCCTGGCACCTTCCCCTGCTTCCTCTCTGGAAAAGCCATCAGCGCCCTCCGGCCTCCCCGCCTCTGGTCCCCATGGAGCCGCCCTTCGGCCCCGCCCCCTGGCTCCATTGGCCCGCTCTCGCAGGTCCCGCCCCCAGCCCGGCCACACCCTTGCCGTGACTGGTCCTTCAGACCCAAAGGCACTTCCTCCCCCTCTTCCTGCAGGTTCATCCGTGGCTCCCCAGTGCCGCTCAGGACACAGGAGCTTGGCATTCAGGGTCTGCTGTGGCCAAGGCCCACTGCCCCTCCCCCCATCTCTGCTCCTCACGTATGAGTCTGCCACACTTGGTCGCCACCAACAATTGCCCCACTGTTAACTTCCCCTCGTCCTCTCCTTCAAAGCTCCAGGCCCTCTGGGACTCTCTGGGAGGAGATAATCGCCCTCCTCCCAGTGCCTCAGTTTCCCTGTCTGTACGATGGAGGGTGTGGACGAATCCTCCCTCTGGCTGTCGGTCTTTCGGTTGAAGTGATAGCTGCTAGGAGGGGCGATTTTATGACGCCAAGGCCAAGATCTTGGAAGGGTCAGATTCTAAAGAGGCCAAGATGCCCTGAACTGTCAGACCAAACTCCCCGCAGTGGCCGAATGACATTGATTCAGCAGTGGCCGAGCGCAGGCAGCACTCTATTAGACTCTGGAGCTGCAGCAGGGAACAAAGATAAATTCCTTTTCTCGTAGAATTACTTGTTACTGGGGAAGCAGACATTGAACAAATCAATGGTTATAAAGAAAAATGAAGCAGAGGAAAGGGGGGCTGGCGAGGGACTATTTTAGGGCAGTCTGAAGGAGAGGAAGGGGTGAGCCAGTGGCGATTGGGTGGAAGAGCAGTGCTTGCGGTGAGAACAGCATGTTCAAAGGCCCTGGGGCAGCCATGTGCTTGATGTGCTCGAACTGAGAGCCCAGTGGGGCTGGAGACAGGGTGGTTGTGGATGGTGGAGGAGATGAGGATTTAGAGCCAGCCAGGGGCCACCAGCATTCTCAGAATTCTAAATCTATGATTCTTTAAAAGATTTTTTTTTGTTTTTGAGATGGAGTCTTGCTCTGTTGCCCAGGCTGGAGTGCAGTGGTGTGATCTCAGCTCACTGCAACCTCCACCTCCCGAGTTCAAGTGATCCTCCTGCCTCAGCCTCTTGAGTAGCTGGGATTACAGGCATGCACCAATGCACCCAGCTAATTTTTGTATTTTTAGTAGAGATGGGGTTTTACCATGTTGGCCAGGCTGGTCTTGAACTCCTGACCTCAGGTGATCCACCCACCTTTGCTTCCCAAAGTGCTGGGATTACAGGCATGAGCCACCGTGCCTGGCCCACAATCTTTTAAATTATTGAAAAATAAATATGTCAGAATAATGAATATTGGAATGTCTATATTTTATAGGAAGCTCAAAAATCAAATATTGCTCATGCCTGTAATCGTAGCACTTTGGGAGGCCAAGGCGGAAGAATCACTTGAGGGCAGGAGTTTGATACCAGCCTGGGTAACATAGCAAGACCTTGTCTCTACAAAAATTTTTAAAACATTAGCTGGGCATGGTGGTGCATGCCTATAATCCCATCCAGTTGCAGGGACTGAGGGAGGATCACTTGAGCCCAGGAGTTTGAGACTGTAGTGAGCCCTGATGTTGCCACTGCACTCTAGCCTGGGTGACAGAGCGAGACTTTGTCTCTAAAAATATGAATAAATAGCCGGGCATGGTGGCTCACGCCTATAATCCCAGCACTTTGGGAGGCTGAGGTGGGTGGATCACGAGGTCAAGAGATCGAGACCATCCTGGTCAACATGGTGAAACTCCGTCTCTACTAAAAATACAAAAATTAGCTGGGCATGGTGGTGCGTGCCTGTAGTCCCAGCTACTCAGGAGGCTGAGGCAGGAGAATTGCTTGAACCCAGGAGGCGGAGGTTGCGGTGAGCCAAGATCGCACCATTGCACTCCAGCCTGGGTAACAAGAGCGAAACTCCATCTCAAAAAAAAAAAAAAAAAAAAGAATAAATAGGTTGGGCATGGTGGCTCATGCCTGCAATCCCAGCACTTTGGGAAGTTGAGGCGGGCAGATCACCTGAGGTTGGGAGTTTCAGACCAGCCTGACCAACATGGAGAAACCCTGTCTCTACTAAAAATACAAAATTAGCTGGGCGTGGTGGCTCATGCCTGTAATCCCAGCTACATGGGAGGCTGAGGCAGGAGAATCAATTGAACCCGGGAGGCAGAGGTTGCAGTGAGCCAAGATTGCTCCGTTGCACTCCAGCCTGTGCAACAAGCGTAAAACTCCGTCTTTAAAAAAAAAAAATTGTGTCTCCAAGGTCCCCAAGTTCATTGGTTTATTCCACAAATATTTCTTGAGTGCTTTCTGTACACATTGTACCAGTGCTGGAGACGGAGGGAACAGACAAGTTTCCAGCCCTTCTGGGGCTCTTTTTTTTTTCTTCTCTTTCTCATTTTTTGAGATGAGGTCTTGCTCTGTCACCCAGGCTGGAGTGCAGTGGTGCGATCATGGCTCACTGCAGCCTTGACCTCCCTGGCTTCCGTGATCCTCCCATCTCAGCCTCTCGAGTAGAGGTTAATAGAGAAGGGCAGTAAATCAAGTTATTATTTGCACCACTGCACTCCAGCCTGGGTGACACAGCAAGACCCTGTCTCAAAAAAAAAAAAAAGAAAAGAAAAGTAAGGGAGAGATGAAGGAGGAGGCAAAAGGGACTCATTGATAGGTGGGATGGGGCTAGTAAACAGGAGGAAGAATAAAAAATCAAATCAAGAATGATTTCTAGAGCTGGGCACTGTGGCTCCCGCCTGTAATCCCAACACTTTGGGAGGCCACGGTGGGTGGATTGCCTAAGGTTAGGAGCTCAGCCTGGCCAACATGGAGAAACCAACCGGGTCTCTAAAAAAAATTAGCCGGTGTGGTGGCGCACACCTGTTAACCCCCACTACTTGGGAGGCTGAGGCAGGAGAATTGCTTGAACCTGGGAACTGGAGGTTGCAGCGAGCCGAGATTGCGCCACTGCACTCCAGCCTAGGCAACAGAGCGAGACTCCATCTCAAAAGATAAAAAAGAAAAGAAAAGAAATTCAAATTCTCACGTCCCAGCCCAAAGCAAGTGAACTGGAATCTCTGGGAGTGGGGCTGGTAACCTGTGGGTTTCTTTTTTTGTTTTTGAGACAGTCTCGCTCTGTCACCAGGCTGGAGTGCAGTGGTGCCATGATCTTGGCTCACTGCAACCTCTGTCTCCAGGTCCAAGCGATTCTCCTGCCTCAGCCTCCTGAGTGGCAGGGAGTACAGGCGCGCACCACCATAGCTAGCTAATTTTTTTGCATTTATAATAGAGACAGGGTTTCACCATGCTGACCAGGCTGGTCTTGAACTCCTAACCTTGTGATCCGCGGGCCTCGGCCTCCCAAAGTGCTGGAATTACAGGCGTGAGCCACCGCGCCCAGCCCGGGCAACCTGTGTTTTAACAAGCACCCCCCGGGGGACCTTGATGCAGGCTCAGGTGGGCACTCTTCCCGCAGGTTCACGCTTATATCATCAGCTACCTGAAGAAGGAGATGCCCTCTGTGTTTGGGAAGGAGAACAAGAAGAAGCAGCTGATCCTCAAGCTGCCCGTCATCTTCGCTAAGATTCAGCTGGAGCATCACATCTCCCCTGGGGACTTCCCTGATTGCCAGAAAATGCAGGTGGGAAGCTGCCCTGGACCGGGTAGTTGGGGGCGGTGATGAGAAGGTTGGCTTCTGGAAGCTCTGAGATGGGACCTCAAAAGCCGGAGGGATGGATGGCAGGTTCTGGAAAGCACCTCCCTCAAATAGTTCCGTGGAAGCATGGTTTTATGAGTCAGGCTAGGGGAGTGAAGAGAAAACCCAAAATAACTGGCTAAATTAAGATGAAGGCTTTTTTCTTTCCTTCATCCATAAAAGTTCCAGAAAGTGGTCTGGGACTGTTTTGGTGCTTTACAGAGCCAGAGATCTAGTCCCCTTCTGTCTTATTTGTCTTCCATGCCTGGCCTCCAGGCCCAAGGAACCTCATGGTACAAAAGGGCTGTCAATGCTCCAGCCATTGTACCTGTATTCCAGCAAGAAGTTGGGAAGCGGAAGAAAATGTACAGTCTCTCTCTTTTTTTTTTAAGACAAAGTCTCACTGGGCGCGGTGGCTCACGCCTGTAATCCCAGCACTCTGGGAGGCTGAGGCAGGTGAAACACGAGGTCAAGAGATCGAGACCATCCTGGTCAACATGGTGAAACCCCGTCTCTACTAAAAATACAAAAAATTAGCTGGGCATGGTGGTGCGCGCCTGTAATCCCAGCTACTCAGGAGGCTGAGGCAGAAGAATTGCCTGAACCCAGGAGGCAGAGGTTGCGGTGAGCCGAGATCGCGCCATTGCACTCCAGCCTGGGTAACAAGAGCGAAACTCCGTCTAAAAAAAAAAAAAAAAAAAAAAAAGACAAAGTCTCGCTTTGTCACTCAGTCTAGAGTGCAGTGGCGCGATCTCTGCTCACTGCAGCCTCCCCCTCTCGGGTTCAAGCTATTCCCCTGCCCCAGCCTCCTGAGTAGCTGGATCACAGGTGAGCGCCATCACATCCAGCTAATTTTTGTATATTTAGTAGAGATGGGGTTTCACCATGTTGGCCAGGCGGGTCTCGAACTCCTGACCTACTGATCCGCCCACCTCAGCCTCTCAAAGTGCTGGGATTACAGGCGTAAGCCACTGCGCCAGGCCCGAAAAGTGTACAGTCTCTTTAAGAACACTTTCTGTTTATTTTCATTTATTTATTTTTTAGAGACTTAAATATTTATGTTTGTAAATATTTGAAATATACACTGCTGGGCACAGTGGCTCACGCCTGTAATCCCAGCACTGTGGGCTGCTGAGGCAGGCGGATCACCTGAGGTCAAGAGTCACTTTGTGCCAGAGCAGCTGTAGGGGTGGGCGTGTTGTCACGCTGCTTCTCACACGGGCAACTCTAAGTTGCCTGCAAAAGGTGGATTCCTTTCACGGCCCTATGTGAATTTCCTGAGCCGAGGCGCACGGGCCAGCTGATCAGGACTCTGAAGGGGTGGGGCTCCTAGGTTGCAACCTGGATTCCCTGGCAGCCAGGGTATGACCAAGTCCGAGTGCACTGAGGCAAGCACAGGTTACACGTGCAGCTTCTACTGTTCGCCTGTTCAATACGGCAGCCGTTCACCACGTGGACTTATTTACATTAGTTAAAATAAATAAAATACAGGCCAGATGCAGTGGCTCACTCCTATAATCCCAGCACTTTGGGAGGCTGAGATAGGAGGATCACCTGAGGTCAGGAGTTCGAAACCAGCCTGGCCAACATGGTGAAACCCCATCTCTACTAAAAATGCAAAATTAGCCGGGCGTGCTGGCAGGTACCTATAATCTCAGCTACTGTCAAGGCTGAGGCAGGGAGAATGGCTTGAACCTGGGAGGTGGAGGTTGCAGTGAGCAACCTCTCCGTGGGGAGGGGGTGGTCCCAGGAAGCCTTGATAATCTGATCATTCCAAACCTCACCTCCAAATCTGGCGGCCAGCACTCAGCCCTTTCTGCGTGGTGTGGTAGCACAGTGGCAGGAATCAAGCTTCCTTAACTTGCCTTTTTACTCCCCTCTCCCTGCCTTTTTTTTTTGAGACAAAGTGTTGCCCGGTCACCCAGGCTGCAGTGCAGAAGCGCTATCTTGGCTCACTGCAGCCTCCACCTCCTGAGGTTCAAGCGATTCTCCTGCCTCAGCTTCCCAAAGTAGTTGGGACTGCAGGTGTGCACCACTATGCCTGGCTAATTTTAATTCAGAAATAGGGTTTTGAGGCTGGGCGCAGTGGCTCATGTCTGTAATCACAGCACTTTGGGAAGCTGAGGGGGGTGAATCGCCTCAGGTCAGGAGTTCAAGAGCAGCCTGGCCAACATGGGGAAACCCCATCTCTACTAAAAATACAAAAATCAGCCGGGTGCGGTGGCTCACGCCTGTAATCCCAGCACTTTGGGAGGCCGAGGCGGGTGGATCACGAGGTCAAGAGATAGAGACCATCCTGGTCAACATGGTGAAACCCCGTCTCTACTAAAAATACAAAAAATTAGCTGGGCATGGTGGTACGTGCCTGTAGTCCCAGCTACTCAGGAGGCTGAGGCAGGAGAATTGCTTGAACCCAGGAGGCAGAGGTTGCAGTGAGCCGAGATCGCACCATTGCACTCCAGTCTGGGTAACAAGAGCGAAACTCCATCTCAAGAGGAAAAAAAAAAAATACAGAAATTAGGCCAGGCACGGTGGCTCATGCCTGTAATCCCAGCACTTTGGGAGGCCAAGGCGGGTGGATCACCTGAGGTCAGGAGTTCAAGACTAGCCTGACCAACATGGAGAAACCCCATCTCTACTAAAAATACAAAATTAGCCGGGCATGGTGGTACGTGCCTGTAATCCCAGCTACTTGGGAGGCGGAGGCAGGAGAATCACTTGAACCTGGGAGGCGGAGGCTGCAGTGATCACACCACTGCACTCCAGCTTGGGTGACAAAGGAAGACTCTGTCTCAAAAGAAACAAACAACAACAAAAAACCCACAACAGCTGCCCCCCCCTACCCCAAGCTTTCCCAGTGTCCTGGTTCCACCTTGCAGCTTGAGGGCCTCAGGGAGGGCACTGCCTGAATTCTGGGGGTCCCTGTCCCCACCACAGGAGCTGCTGATGGCACATGACTTCACCAAGTTTCACTCACTGAAGCCGAAGCTGCTGGAGGCGCTGGATGAGATGCTGACACACGACATTGCCAAGCTGATGCCCCTCCTGCGGCAGGAGGAGCTGGAGAGTACGGAGGTGGGCGTGCAGGGGGGCGCTTTCGAGGGCACCCACATGGGCCCGTTCGTGGAGCGGGGGCCTGACGAGGCCATGGAGGACGGCGAGGAGGGCTCAGATGACGAGGCTGAGTGGGTGGTCACCAAGGACAAGTCCAAGTACGACGAGATCTTCTACAACCTGGCGCCTGCTGACGGCAAGCTGAGCGGCTCCAAGGCCAAGACCTGGATGGTGGGGACCAAGCTCCCCAACTCGGTGCTGGGGCGCATCTGGAAGCTGAGCGATGTGGACCGCGACGGCATGCTGGATGACGAGGAGTTCGCGCTGGCCAGCCATCTCATTGAGGCCAAGCTGGAGGGCCACGGGCTGCCCACCAACCTGCCCCGTCGCCTGGTGCCACCCTCCAAGCGGCGTCACAAAGGCTCTGCTGAGTGAGCCGGTGCACATCCCCCATGGCCCTGCTGTGGCTCCCCAGCTCCAGTCGGCCGCACGCACACCCCCGCCCAGGCTCACTCATGCCCTCCCTGCCCTCCCTACCCAGCTGCAAGGACCGGGGGAGTCTCCCTCCCCACTACCGCCAGGTACCCCAGTAGAAGCATTTAGAGGGGACCACGGGAGGGACAAGGCTTCTCTGTCCGTCCTTCACACCTCCAGCCTCATGTTCACTTAGGCACATCACACAGACACTAGCACGCGCAGGCATCCATTCATCCATTGTTCGAGCACCTACTATGTGCCCAGCCCTGTTCTAGGCACCGGGCATTACCATAGACAAATATGTCTGCCCTTGTGGAAGCCGACATTCCCAGGAGAGGGCACCTACATGGTCATGTCACGTAAACACACACTCATTCCTAGCAGGACCCCGGCCCCTCCCCAGGGGGAGCAGCCCTGTGGTTGAAATGACTAACAGATACACAGACCCCTTTCTGCTCCACTTCCTCCTGCCCAGTCAGGCAAGAACCCCAACCCATTCCATCACATCCTCAGGTCTCGGGACCATGGGGGGCTCAGAGGGGAGACACAGCCTCCTGTTTCCTCAGATGGGCCTCTCCAAAACCCCTCACTTTGCTTAGGGAAAGCCCCCAATTCTGTCCACACCCATTTCTTTTCTTTTCTTTTTTTTGAGAGGGAGTCTCGAACTGTTGCCCAGGCTGGAGTGCAGTGCTGAGATCTTGGCTCACTGCAACCTCTGCCTTTTGAGTTCAAACAGTTCTCCTGCCTCAGCCTCCCAAGTAGCTGGGATTACAAGTGTTTGCTAATTTTCTTTTCTTTTTCTTTTTTTTTTTTTTTTTAGTAGAGATGGGGTTTCATCATGTTGGCCAGGCTGGTCTTGAACTCCTGACCTCAGGTTATCCACCCTCCTTGACCTTTCAAAGTGCCGGGATTACAGACATAGAGCCACTGTGCCCAGCCCACACCCATTTCTTTGTTTATTATTTATTATTTTTATTTTTGAGACAGAGTCTTACTCTGCCACCCAGGCTGGGGTGCAGTGGTGAGATCTCAGCTCACTGCAACCTCCTCCTCCTGGGTTCAAGTCATTCTTGTGCCTCAGCCTCCCAAGTAGCTGGGACTGCAGGCACGAGTCACCACCCTGGCTAAGTTTTGTATTTTTAGTAGAGACGGGGTTTCACCATGTTGGCCAGGCTGGTCTCGAACTCCTGACCTCTGGTAATCCATCCGCCTCAACCTCCCAAAGTGCTGGGATTACAGATATGAGCCACTGCGCCGGGCGTCACACCCATTTCTTTAAAAAGGATCCTACAGCAGGCAGAAAAGCCCCTTCCATCCCAGCTGTACCCGTTGGAGGTATTTCTGTCCTCCACCCAAGTGTTCGTGGCTCCTGGACCCCTGGAAACCTCGCACAGCTGGTGGTCTGGACTTACGGATTGCTGGGCCACCGCCTATCTGCGCCCCCCACCGCCATTCCATATTTAAGTGGAGCCCCTACCAGATAGAAAGGCCCGGGCTTTATTTTAGTCTACTTTTCAGGGATGTTGTGGGCGGGGGAGGGGGTTTCTTGGTGCTACAGCCCTCTCCCCAATCCTAAAGGGAGGGACCCCGACGCTGTTTGCTGTCTTCAGCACGTATTAGTGCTTGACCCTGGCAGGGGACCCCATGGAACAGATGGTGAAGAGCAAAATACAAGGAGGCGACGCCCCCTTCAGGATGCTCGCTGGGATTCCCACGCCCACTATTGTCCCCCACCCCGTGGCTGGGAGGGGCCTCTGAACGGAACAGTGTCACCAAAGAGCGAATAAAACCAAGGCTTCTTCTCAAGTGGCAGGCTGGTTGGCTTGGGACAGGGATCGCCCGTGCTTCCCCAGGGAAGGAGAGACCTGGGCAGGATTTGGGGTGGGGGGAGGCCCCCTTCCGTGCTCTCAGGGGTGGGGTGGAGTCCGTGACTCAATGCAGCCAGGCCTGGTGACTCAGGCCTGGGCTGGGGGCCAGACCGGCATATTTTCCGAAGCAAAGTGACTCTGGGGCCCTCCCCCCGGGACATCCCTCCCTCCCACCTCCCGCGGCCGGGGCCTGGGAACCAAGCCCTGGGGCGCGCGCGATGTGTGTGTGTGTGTGTGTGTGTGTGTGTGCGGGCACGAAGCGCTCCACCAGCCCCTCCCTCCCCCGCTGCCCTGCCCGGCACGGTGCCCCTGCACAACCTAGGTACACAACTCCAGGCGCGTTACGCCAGGGATACACACCGGCCCCTGGTGGGGAGGAGGGACCTTGCTCATACGGGCTGCCAGGAGTGCGAGCGTGCTCATACCCTGGGGACTCTTGGCCAGAGCTGGGCAGCTCGCCCCACGCGCCAGGTCCCGCTCACTCACACCCAGCCACACCCACGGCGCCCGGGGACACGCTGGCCGCGCGCTCTTCCCGCCCACGCGGGCCCGGTCTCGCGGCTCGCTGCGCCCCCTGGCGGACGCTCAGGTTGTGGTCGCCGAAACCCCTGTCCCAGGTGGTCCGGCGCTGGGTAGGGTAGGGGGGTGGGGGGGTGGGAGAGAGCGGGTCTCTGAGAGCTATGATGATCCAGGGCCTGTCACCTTTCCAACGCTCTGCGCAAGGATCTAGCTAAATTCAGCCGTGTGACCATGTGTGTGGCGCCCTTCCCTCTCTGTGCCTGTTAGAGTCACAGCAAGGAAAGCCCATAGACCCCGCACCCCATTCTCCCCTGCTAAGCCTAGCTCTTAACAGAAACCGCCTCAAGCCATGTAAACAGGACACCCATGGTCACACCCGGCTCTCGAACCCAGGATGTTGACCCAATTAAGCAGAATATCAGCCCCCGAGAACCAAGAGGTGGTTTTTCTTAGAATAGCACCCGGCTACCTGCAAACCCCCTGTTATAACCCCCATCGTTTGTAAGCCAGGCTGCTGCCTTCACTGCCTGTGGCTGTGGTGGAGGCTTAGCAGGTTGAAATAAACTTACTAAACCTGACCCTGGGTCTGCCTCTCCATCCTTTGGATCAACCTTACAGTGCCTTTTTACTTTATGAGTCCAGAGTGGCTTTTATGAGGCCTGGATCTCTCTGATCTATTTTTGAGACAGGGTCTTGCTCTTTCACCCAGGCTGAAATGCAACGGCACAATCACAGCTCACTTTACCCTCCAACTCCTGGGCTCAAGCCAGCCTCCCACCTCAGCCTCCTGAGTATCTGGGACTACAGGTGCAAACCACCATGTCTGGCTAAATTGTTGGCAGACACAGGGTCTCACTCTGTTGCCCAGGCTGATCTTGAATTCCCGGGCTTAAGCCATCCTCCTGCATCAGCCTCTCAAAGTGCTGGGATTACAAGCGGGATTCACCACCCCCTGCCATGGATCCCTGTGAATGGCTGCCAGGATCCAGGAGCCTCTGAGCTTCCTTCCTTATTTGTAAATAGCATAGATGAGTTGATTCTAAGATGAAGCTTCAGCTGGGCGTGGTGGCTCATGCCTGTAATCCCAGCACTTTGGGAGGCCAAGGCAGGCGGATCACCTGAGGTCAGGAGTTCAAGACCAGCCTGACCAACATGGAGAAACCCCATCTCTACCAAAAATACAAAAGTAGCAAGGGGTGGTGGTACATGCCTGTAATCCCAGCTACTCAGGAGGCTGAGGCAGAATTGCATGAACCCGGGAGGTGGAGGTTCCCATGAGCCAAGATGGTGCCACTGCACTCCAGCCTGGGCAACAAAAGCAAAACTCCATCTAAAAAAAAAAAAGATGAAGCTTCAATAACAATAGCTAACATTCAGATGCCAGACTGAATGTTAAGTGCTTTACATGTTTAATCTTGTGCATGATCTATGAGGCAGATGTACCGTTATAATCCTTATTTTACAGATGAGGAAACTGAGGCACAGAGAAGTAGCCTGCTTAAGATGAATGATTCTGAGTCTGCACTTCCAGGGGCCTAAAAGTATGTTTCTCACATTCCTTTAATGTTCTGTGCTTCCAACTGTGATATTCCGAAAGTTATTTGATATCCAAGATCCTAGGATTGGAACGCTTGAGAGGAAAAAACTTCTGAGACTGGAACGTGTGTTGTGCAGAATCTGCCACTGACGGTTCTGATTTTCCAAGAAAACGAGATTAAAAAATAATCAGGGCCGAGCACGGTGGCCCACGCCTGTAATCCTAGCACTTTGGGAGGCTGAGGGAGAATCACTTGAGCCCAGGGGTTCAAGACCAGCCTGGACAACATAGCGAGACCCTTGTCTCTTAAAAAAAGAAAAAATCGGCCGGGTGCAGTGGCTCACGCCTATAATCCCAGCACTTTGGGAGGCCGAGGTGGGTGGATCACGAGGTCAAGAGATCGAGACCATCCTGGTCAACATGGTGAAACCCCGTCTCTACTAAAAATACAAAAATTAGCTGGGCATGGTGGTGCGCACCTCTAGTCCCAGCTACTCGGGAGGCTGAGGCAGGAGAATTGCTTGAACCCAGGAGGCGGAGGTTGTGGTGAGCCGAGGTGGTGCCATTGCACTCCAGTCTGGGTAACAACAGTGAAACTCTGTCTCAAAAAAAAAAAAAAGAAAAAATCGGCCGGGCGCGGTGGCTCATGCCTATAATCCCAGCACTTTGGGAGGCTGAGGCAGGCAGACCATGAGGTCCAGATATTGAGACCATCCTGACCAACACGGTGAAACCTCATCTCTACTAAAAATACAAAAAAATTAGCTGGGTGTGGTGGCCTGAGCCTGTTGTCCCAGCTACTTGGGAGGCTGAGGTAAGAGAATCACTTGAGCCCGGGAGGCGGAGGTTGCAGTGAGCTGAGATTGCACCACTGCACTCCAGCCTGGTTACAGAGCGAGACTCCATCTCAAAAAAAGAAAAAAAGTTAAAAAATGAGTTTGGACCGGGAGTGGTGGTGTGCGCCTGTAATCCCAGCACTTTGGGAGGCATAGGAAGGAGAAGATCAGGTGTTCAAGACCAGCCTGGGCAACACAGGGAGGCTCCATCTCTAAAAATAAATAAAAATGTAAAATTAGGTGTGGTTGCACGCGTCTCAGGTGTGGCTGCGAGAGTCTGTGGTCACAGCTATTCGGGAGGCTGAGGTAGGAGGATCCCTGAGTTTAGGAATTGAAGGCTGAAGTGAGCTATGATCCTGCCACTGCACTCCAGCCTGGGGGCAACAGAGTGAGACCCTGTCGGTCTGGCGCGGTGGCTCACGCTTATAATCCCAGAATTTTGGGAGGCCGAGGCAGGTGGGTCACCTGAGGTCAGGAGTTCGAGACCAGCCTGATCAACATGGTGAAACCCCATCTCTACTAAAAAAAAAAAAAAAAATTAGCCGAACAAGGTGGAGGGCTCCTGTAATCCCAGCTACTCTGGAGGCTGAGGCAGGAGAATCGCTTGAACCCGGGAGGCAGAGACTGTAGTGAGCCGAGATCGCGCCACTGCACTCCAGCCTGGGAAAGAGTACTCTGTCAAAAAAAAAAAAAAGAGTGAGACCCTGTCTATTAAAGAAAAAAATCAGTTTGAGCAAAGGCCCCGGGTAGCCGGGTAAGGTGCTCGCTTAGGGCGAGAGCCAAGAACCTGCAACCTTCTAGTCTCTCTCTTACTACCCGCCGCCGTTAGGAATCTTCTGATCCCGGTGTAAAGAATGGAGGAAGAAGGAGCCATTTATTCTTTACCAAGATGGCAGCCTCCTGGCACCTCCAGTCACTTTACAAATATGGCTGCCACAGGAAGTACGTCACGCAAGGGGGTGGGAAATCTGCGCGCGCACGCTGCAGAGGGGCTTTTTGGGACGCCGGCGGCTGAATTCTTCCTTTGACAAGATGGCGGTGGGAGGCAAAGGTGGTAGTAGGAAGCACAGCTCGAAAAGCGATGCCGATTCTGGCTTCCTGGGGCTGCGGCCAACTTCAGTGGATCCAGCGCTGAGGCGGCGGCGGCGAGGCCCAAGAAACAAGAAGCGGGGCTGGCGACGACTCGCTCAGGAGCCGCTGGGGCTGGAGGTTGACCAGTTCCTGGAAGACGTGCGGCTACAGGAGCGCACGAGCGGGTACGGGGGGCGGGACTTCCGGGAGCTGGGACAGCCCCTGGTCCCAGGTGCGAGGCCGGGCTTGCTTGCCGGGACTGGCCGGGGGTCGGGGGGCGCCTGTCCCGAGGACTGCCCAGGAGGTGGAGAGTATGGGCTGGGGACTCAGGAGGGGAAGCTGGAGAGCTTGATAGAGTCACCATATTCAGCAGATAAATATACTGGACGTTCAATTACATTGGATTTTAGGTAAACAACGAATACTTTTTAGCATAAATACATTCCATTCATCTACCTTAGCTTTTTTTTTTTCCCGACAGAATCTTATTCTGTCGCCCAGACTGGAGTGCAGGAGTGCAATGGCGCGATCTCAGCTCACCGCAACCTCCGCCTCCCAGGCTTAAGCGATTCTCCTGCCTCAGCCTCCAAAGTAGCTGGGATTACAGGCAGCCACCATCACGCCCGGCTAACTTTTTATTTTATTTTATTTTTTATTTTTTTTAGACAGAATCACTTTCTAGCCCAAGCACGATCTTGGCACACTGCAAACTGCCTCCTTGGTTCAAGCGATTCTCCTGCCTCAGCCTTTCAAGTAGCTGGGATTACAGGCATGCACCACCACGTCTGGCTAATTTTTGTATTTTTTATAGATACAGAGTTTCGCCATGTTGGCAAGGCTGGTCTCGAACCCCTGACCTCAGGTGATCCACCTGCCTCGGCCTCGTAAAGTGCTGGGATTACAGGAGTGAGCCACCATGCCTGGCAGTCCTTCCTAAATATTAAGTTCTGTAAACTGCAAGGCTAGGCCTTACCC